CGTGTGGTGTGGGCGCGGGAGGGGCCCTCGCTGCCCCGCCGCAGAGGGACGGGAGGGATTCCCCAGCCCGACCCGACGGGCCCGGGCCGCGTTCCTCCGGGACGCCGTGGATCCTCTTAGGAAGGCGAGGGCAGCTGGGGGGTCTGCTCTCCTCTGCCGTGCGCGGGCGGGGCTGCAGCTCTCCTGGGACGCTTCCCATTGCCTTTCCCTGCAGGAAGCTGAAGCTGAGGGTTAAATGCGATGACGAGTTTTCTTGGTTGCGTTCTAAAATTCTGTAAAATCCGTGAGAACGAGGTACGGACTTTTGCAGCTACGGATGGCCCCAAACTCCCACTGAGCGCTGTTAAAGTCATTCCTCTCTCATCCCGCAGTCCCAGAACCAGTGGTCGAGTCGCTGTCAGATTGTGTAGGGCACGTGAAGGTCAGAGACCCCATGGATATTTTCATAACGTGCAGGAGAAAATAAAGGGACCTCTAAGTGCAGGTGTCTTGCTGAAGTTGGGGTCTGTGCTTTTTGTCTGTGAGGCTTCTCCCCGTGGTAAGGCAAGACAGGTGAGATTTTCTCAAGGCGCCTTTGACCACCAAAACCAGAGTTACTCAGCTGAGTAAATTGTTGTATGCAAAATAATCACAGAATAATCGAAGAGAAGAGTTGATTAGCAGAGCAGAAGAACAGCTTGTCTGTGGCCAGCTGACAGGAGACCAACTGCTGCGCAGCACGGCGTAGTGCTGCGACCCTTACATGCAAGTTCTCTCAGCTAACTTCCTTTCAGGCTTTTTCTCCCTGATTCGAGTCAATAAGGACCCAAAGCATATGGTAGCTGGTTTATCTTTAAAAGTGTTGCTGCACAGTGTCAGAAATGGAGCGGTGTGTCCAGGGTTTTCTTACGATAATTGAAAGCAATAAAGCTACGTATAGGCAGAGGCATTTGGGACAAAAGTAAATACAGATGTTGAACCATATTTGCTGTCTAGTGCAGGCGCAATGGAGACCAAAAAGTTATACCCGTGCCAGGAAGCCTGACTGTCTCCTAAACCCTGTCTGGGTTTAATTTTGGTGTAAATTGTCGCCTACATTTAGGTGTGCAATAAATGCTTCCTGCTGTAGGGGGAGCAAACAGTCCTTCAAAACCGTCTGAAGCCAGGGCAGGTAACCCTACCTCACTGATTCACCAAGTGCCCGTGTCCCCCGGGGCGGATGGAGACAGCCTCCAGATTACACAGAGCTGGCAGAAATCTCCAGTCGTCTTCTGCTCTTGCTGGTCAGTGATTAACAGCTTGCAGGACAGCGGTTTTTCCTTTAAAGGTTTAGTTGTCTTTGAAGACGTGATGGATTTCAGCAGCGTGTATCTGATTGCTCTGGCACTGGCACCAAGTTAGTTTTTTGAGGCTGTTGCTGTTACTCTATTGCTAAATAATAACAAACATAAAAAATGAGATGCTGCTTCATGTGCCTGCTCAGTTCACGATGTAAAAACTGCATATACCATTATCTCAGGGTTATCCGGCCGGTGTTATTGCAGGCTCTGCTAAACTGCAAGTCTAAGTTTGAGACTACAGGCATCTTCTGCTAGGAGCAAATGACCCAGCAGTGAGATTTTCTTGGGATGTTTTTGGGTTATTCTTTTCTTTCTCCCTCAGACTGACTGTTGGAAATGCTGGTACAGCTGATATTTCTGAGTTCCCTGAGCTATACTGAGTAAAAAATCCTGTGTTCTAGGGTAATGCAAGTAGGTTGTAAAAGAAGATGTGGATTTTTAACCAGTTATTAGGGTTGGTCAACAGAAAGAAGACCAATACTGCCATTAAACTTGTCTAGTTAAAAAACTATAAGCAACTGTTGTTCTTTGAAGAGACAGATCAAAGTTGTATTTAAGTAGGTAAGTAGACAGCAACCTGTTTCCTCCTCTGCGCGTGATCTAGTAGACAGGCCTCAGTGCTGATCTGTATTTGGCCTTCCCAATAAATAGACTCTTCTCAAAGCCAGTTTTGTTGTTGTAGAGCAGAGCCTTTTTCAGACAGCGTGGAAAGCTTGATACTAGCACCTTGCACATCCTAGCTACTCTTTGCGAAATCTGCCATGCAGATAGTGCCAGACAAATTCAGTCAGCCACATGAATGATCCAGGACTTGCCACTGAATTTGGTGTGCATTTAAAAATGTGAAAAGCAAAGAGAATTTATTCAGAATTAGAAGATAGTAGCCAGTACAACTCGCCTAATACCAAAAGGAAGGCTGGCAGTTTGATTAAAGCTCTTCTTTTTTTTTTTTTCCTCCCAACCTTAGTATTAAGCTAATCTCTTAGTGTTGGCTTTCAGTAACACCTGCTGGCCATTTGTAACTTTTCATATTTTATTCACAGCACTAAATATGGCTCATTATAAATGACTCGTCTAATGCTCCAATCCTGCAATGGGATTGTGTCAGTAATCGTTTTTTTATCCACAGTGGGACTTCCTGTGGCTCCAGCAGTTCATCCAGACTGATCAGTGTGCAGGACAGAGGCTGACATGACAACAGAAATTTGCATAAGCCAGTGCATATGTGGAAAAGGGAAGAATAACTGAATGATGAAGATTGAAATAAACCCACGCCAGTTATTAGTGTATAATATTGCTACATGGGTTAACAGTAACTTCCTTTAAAGTCTGTATTATCAACGGTTGTGCAAACTACGAGACCTGAAGGTTTAGTTTTGTCTCCTTGCTCATTTAATCCTTAGTCTCTGCTGACATTGCAAGATAAATTAATTACATGAAACGTGGGAGAACAGTGTTGAATCGTTTACTCTCTCTGTCCTCTCTTATGCTGGGTATCAGAAGTGTAATTAAGCTGTAAGCAGACTTCCGACGTGAACGAGTTTGTTGATAGAAGCTCAAGCTGGATTTGAACTCATGAGCAATGACTTTTTTAATATTTTTGCATTATCCCACTGGACTAATTTCAGCAGTGAAAACATCTTCAATTTTACAATGCAAAAGCTTAATCCATTGAAGTTCTCTTGGTAAAGTGTTGTGAGACTGACTTATGGTGGTGGATGATCAGATGTATTTACAGAGACCTGACGTAACAGTTTCACATCAAGAAAAATGTCAGTACATTAAGTCAAGTAAAATCATAGACATGTTTATGTTAATGTTCGCGGTCTCCAGGTCTTCCTCTTTTTAAAGGGATCTTGCTTTGCTTTCTTATTCACAGTCACTGTTAATGCATTGGAAGGAAAAGACTGCAAGGAATCTGTCAGGCTGATTGCAGAAAGCACTAATCTCTCAGAAGAGCAGCTTGCTTT